GAATGTGCCAGGCGGAGGGGGAGAGGGAGAGAGAGAATCTCAAGCTTACTCCTCGCCGAGCGTGAAGCCCTGTGGAGGGCTCGATCCCACACCACTGAGATCTTGACCTGAGTCAAAACCAAGACCCAGACACTTAACCGGCTGAGTCACTCAGGTGCCCCAGCCCTAACCTTTAATATTCTGGAGATAGGCAGGTACAAGGGGAAATATAGGGGGACAGAGCCAGTAGGAGAGAAGCCGTTCTTACTCCTCAGGCTCCCACTGGGGGAGTCTGTCTCAGTTTCTTCTGAGTGACTGGCCTGCTCCGCAGCCTCTTCCTCCACGGAGAGAAGTGGAGTTCTGCTGCCCAGCTTGGAAACGTGCTTTGTAACTGAGGCATATGAGTAGTTATGGGATAAGAAGAGGTGGAGATGTGTTCCCTCCTGCTGCATAACCAGAAGGAACTTCTGCAAACAGCGCTGGGTCATGCAGCTTCTGGTGGCTTCTGGTGGCTTCTTGTTCAGTGCGCTGGATGGTTGCTTGTAACTTTCAGCAGCTCTGGTCCCGGGGCACGTTTGTCTGTACTGCTTAGCCTTGAGGATTTGGGTTCTAAATCTGAACCTGAACTGCTTACCTAGATTAGTACCTCGAACTCCCCAGACTCTGAACGGCCCACAGGTCACCATCACAGGAAGATGAGGGAGAGAGGAGGTGATGTGCAGGGCGAAGGTAGGGACAGTGAAGAAACGGTTCCTATTTCAGTTCTGTTATGATCGTATTTGATGGGCTTTTCCCTGGGGGGGTTTGTCAAGTACAGTTCTCTCTCCATCTCCTTTCCTGTGAGATCCAGAACTGGATACACTTTGCTAGGTATCCTTCTGGCTCATTTAAAATAAAATTACTTTGAAACCATTTCAGATTTACATAAATGTTGCCAAACTGTACAGAGAACTTCTGTAGGCACCTCACGCAGATTCCCCAGTTGTTAGCATTTTATTGCTTTTGTGTTTGCTGATGTTCACTGGTGTCCTCCCAATCTGTCTGTCTTCCTCTATTGTATCTGCTGTTTCTCTGTAGCCTTCGAAAGCGCACTGTTGGTAGGTGGTCTTCTCTCCTCTGTGACACCCCAGTGTGACATTCTCTGCAGCGAGGACCTGCGTCTCCAAACCAGCATGCACCTCCCCAAGCCAGGGCCCGAGCAGTGATGCTGTGCCACCGTCCGGTGCACGGACCCTGCTCACATTTTGCCAACTGTCCCCAAGAATGGCTCTTTTTCTTTCTGATCCAGGATCCTGTCCAGCGACATGTGTTGCGTTGGCTGTCATGTCTCTTCAGACTCCCTGAATGTGGAACAGGTCCTCGGCCTTTCCTTGGCATTTAGATCTTGGACAGGTTTAAAGGGTAGGCTTTATATTCTGTAGGATGACCCGCAACCTGGATCTGTTTGGTGTTTCCTCACTAGACTCGGTCCTGAGCTTTTAGCGAGTGATGGAATGTGCCTCACATCCGGGGTACCCGATGCCAACCACGCCCGTCCCTGGAGATGTTAAGTTTGATCACTGGTCCCGTGGCTGTCTTCTAGGTCTCTCCACCTTAAAGTCACCATTTTTTCCCTTCTCAATCAATTAGTCTTTAGTGGGAGGTGTTCTAAGATTTCCCTGATAATACCATGCCTGAAAACACCGCCTTCCGCTAGACCTCAGCACCCATCGACACCTCCCACCTGGCTCAGTGAGGTTTCCCTATCCTTCATCCTTTCGGATTTCTTAGTTGGTATTCCCGTGGTAAGGAAGGGTTTTCCTTTTCCTTTTTCGCTTAGCCCTTTATTCAGTTTTTTCGATGGATTTCTTCAATGGATTATAATCTCATACTATTATGTAAGAACATTTTTATGCCTGATTGTCCCTGATTTGATCACTGAGCCCCCTTGTGAGCTGGTTGCTGTGTCCTTTTGACCCCTCCCCATCGTGGAGTCATTCTTAAGGGTTACGAGGTATAAGAGGCTACCTCCCAAGTGACAGACGCTAAGCCCTCTGTGAACCTTGGGGTTGGCTTCCTCAGAGGAACTTTTCTACCTCTGCCTCCCATAACCTACGCTGCCCGCTGCCTTTCTGTTCCCCCTGCAGCGTGACCAGCCTCAGCAGCAGTTTTGCCCAAAACAGAACTTGTCAGTAGGCGGCTGAGTGTGGGCTCTTCATTCTAGGGCTCCCACGTTGTGTAAGCTTCCGGGGAGCAGGGCGGGGGTAGCCGTCTCTCTCTTCCAGGTACCTGGACCGTCTGCTTCTGAAAAACGCGTAGACCTTACCGTGGCCTCCCCGTGGGATAACCTACTGACATTCCTGCCAGCTTGACTTCTCAGCGTCCAACAAACGCTTTGGCTCCTTGAGAACATTTCAACGTCTAATTTCCAAAAACCATTCTGTTCCACCACAGTGTACTTGTACGACTTGGTCCTGATGATTCCAAAAGCCAGACTACCTGGGCGTATGTTTTCCTTAAATTCTCCTGGGCTCCTAATGTCTCCCCTGTAATTCAGAATCCTTTAAGTTGAGCTGACGCTCAGAGCTGGTGTGGGAATGATAAATAAGCGTTTCGTGGCAGAATTCTTTCTCTCAGCTCCTGCGCTTGTCCTTTTCTCTACTCTTGGCACATACAGTTCATAAGAAATAATGGATGTCTCACAGCTTATTTGTAGAAATGCATGTTTGTGTCACTGATTACTTGAGCAAATTATTAAATCCTCCATAAAATCCTGCACATGTCACTTGCTTTCAGAGAGGACTACAAGTTCACTGTTAAAAACGAGGTGAACAAATTGGACCCAGTGGAGGGAAGTCCTCGGGTGCCAGGAACAAGGCTTGCAGCGGTAACTTTTGGGACCTGAGTTGACTCTGAAGTCCTGCCAACCAAGTGAGTTGTAATAGTATAAGAAGCCACGGCAGAGTCCCATTCACCTCCGTTCACCTACTCCATATCATGCCCTCCCTACCTTGGCCATGGACTGCAGCTTACCCTGCCTTCACTCACCTCTCCAGTGATGGGAATGGAAAACAGACAAAGAACGTGCATTGACATAGATCCATTGCCCTTACTCCAAAAAAAAGTATCCTAATGGGTCACTAGAGACATAAAAAGCTCATTAGCATTTCTTCCCTCCAATTCTTCCTTTTTATAACAGTCTTAACCTCAAAAGCAAAAGATAATACAAGCTGATAAGAGGAGCATGAAAAGTTTCTCTGAAAATTTATTTTTATTTTTTTATTTTTTATTTATTTATTTTTAAAGATTTTATTTATTTATTTGACAGAGAGATCACAAGCAGGCAGAGAGGCAGGCAGAGAGAGGAGGAAGTAGGCTCCCTGCTGAGCAGAGAGCCCGATGCGGGGCTCGATCCCACGACTCTGAGATCATGACCTGAGCCGAAGGCAGCGGCTTAACCCACTGAGCCACCCAGGTGCCCCTATTTTTATTTTTTTAAAGATTTATTTATTGGATGCCTGGCTCAGTCAGTTAAGCATCTGCCTTCCCCTCAGGTCATGATGCTGGAGTCCCAGGATTGAGCACATCGGGCTCCATGTTTAGCGGGGAGTCTGCTTCTCCCTCTGATACTCCTTCTGCTCATTCTTTCTCTCTCTCTCTCAAAATGAATAAATAAAATCTTAAAAAAAATAAAGATTTATCTATTTATTAGAGAGAGCATGCATGCGGAGGGGGAGAGAATCTGGAGCAGACCTTGTGCTGAGCGCAGTGCCCGACATGGGGCTCAACCCCACAACCCTGAGCTCATGGCCTGAGCCAAAATCAAGAGTTGGATGTTCAGGGGCGCCTGGGTGGCTCAGTGGGTTAAGCCACTGCCTTCGGCTCAGGTCATGATCCCAGGGTCCTGGGATCGAGTCCCGCATCAGGCTCTCTGCTCAGCAGGGAGCCTGCTTCCCTCTCTCTCTCTCTCTGCCTGCCTCTGTCTACTGTGATCTCTCTCTGTCAAATAAAAAAATAAAATATTAAAAAAAAAAAAAAAAAAGAGTTGGATGTTCAACCAATTGAGCCACCCAGGTGCCCCCCCCCTTTTCTTTTAGAAAAGTATTCTGGAGATCTTAGAATAACAACTTTCTTTAAAAATGTGCACCAGCTGGGGCTCCTGGGTGGCTCAGTGGGTTAAAGCCTCTGCCTTCGGCTCAGGTCATGATCCCAGGGTTCTGGGATCAAGCCCCGCATTGGGCTCTCTGCTCGGCAGGGAGCCTGCTTCCTCCTCTCTCTCTGCCTGCCTCTCTGCCTACTCGTGTCTGTCAAATAAATAAATAAAATCTTAAAAAAAAAAATGTGCACCAGCTAATGGTGCTACTGTGTTTTTTCTCCCAGGCTTTATTTATTCCTCATGATTTTGAGAGTTTGTTTGTTTGTTTTTTAAGATTTTGTTTATTTATTTGACAGAGATCACAAGTAGGAAGAGAGGCAGGCGGGGGGTGGGGCGGTTGAGGGGGAAGCAGGCTTCTTGCTGAGCAAAGAGCTGGGTGTGGGGCTCTATCCCAAGACCCTGGGATCATGACCTGAACCGAAGGCAGAGGCACAACCAATTGTGCCACCCAGGTGCCCCAATTTTGAGAGTTTTTGACAGAGTTTTCATAGAGACTCTGTCAGCCTACTTTACATTGGATTCCTGGGCACGGAGCCCACCAGAGGATTCTTTCTCTCCCTCTCCTTGAGCTCTCTCTCTCTCAAATAAATATATACATCTTTAAAAAAAATAAATAAATTGGGGTCCTGCAATCAACAAATCGTGTTTGGCTCCAAGCTGGGGAAAATGTGGTAGTGGGTACTGGGGAGGAAAAATTTCTCTTCTGTCCTTCTGGAGTCCCCAGCCAGGCCTAAGAATTAAACTGATGCGAACAGATACAGAGGAGAGAAGCATACACATTTTATTACATTTTACACGTACATGGAAATGTACATGGAAACATCCCTATAGGAGATGAAGACCCAAAGAAGCAGAGCTGAACATTTAATGTACTGAATTGGATGGGCAAAGAGAAGTAAGTTATGAAAATGTGACAAGACAGAGGAGCTTGGGGTAAGGCAGTTAGTGGTGGAAAAGTGGCTAGGAAGATAAGGGTTAGTTTAACAAGCCTTATTTGTACTGATTTTTCTTGGCCTCTACCCCAGGTCTCTGATGATAAGAGTGTTGCTTTACTTCTGGTATAGGGAGTTCACCATCCAGATGGGGGTTTTTATCTCCTGCTTTCGGGAAGAAAAGGGGGAGGAGGTGAGAATGCCCGTCTTATAGTGTTGTGTGTCCAGTCCCTTGAGCTCAAAATACCCTTTGGGACGGCATATTCTTCGGCTCTTCACGGGCCCTGTTTACCCGTAGGCGTTGAGCTGGGCCCCCGAGACCTCGGCCCAGCTCCTGCACTGTGCTGTGCTCCGTCTCTCATCTGCTTAGATAAATGGAGAAACATGGCTCTGTTATGTTTTGTTTTTCAAGCTGCTGGTTCCTCATCTGTAAATGGGGACAATAATAGTCCTCGTTGGGTAGAATTGCGAGCATTAAATGAGATGAAGCAAATTAAGGGATGTACTTAGAAAGAGCTAAGTAAATAGAACTGTGGGGAGGAAAATAGTTTTTCATTTGTCCTTCCAGTTCCTTAGCCACAACACCCCTGTGATAAAAAGACACATTAACAGTAGAAAAACAAACAAGTTTAATAAGGTGTATCCCTCTTATATGCATGTTTTTCCTCCAGGAAAAACCCTCCAGAAAGGCCCATGCCACCACCTTAAATATCATCTCCAGCTGATGACAGAGATGTTGGGGGTGGGGAGTCAGTTACGGGAGGGTACCGGGAGGACTGCTGTGAACAGGGGTAAATGGTCTGCATTAAGATAAGGGTTTCTAGTGCGTGAGGGCGGCTCAGTGGGTTAAGCCTCTGCCTTTAGCTCAGGTCATGATCTCATGGTCTTGGGATGGAGCCCCGCATCCTGCTCTCTGCTCAGCAGGGAGCCTTCCCCCCCCATGCCCCCCCATATGCCGCCTACCTCTCTGCCTACTTGTGATCTCTGTCTGTCAAATAAATAAAATCTTAGCAAGGGTTTCTAGAGATTTAGACTTCTCTTTCTCTTCCTGGTACATTTCCCTTGTACTGCTCTAAGTGTAAATGTTTCCTATGAAAGGGTAACTTGTGCTCAGTTTTCAGAGTTTCACCTGCATCTGCTGTTTATTTAAAAATAACCAGCTTAAAATAGCAAGCCAAAGAGGCATATTTGGGGATGTATTTTGCTCCCGCTTGTGTTGGAAAGCAAACAGAATGGGTTGCTACTATAGATGCTTTCCTCCTCCCTCTTCTAGTTGGAAACCTTTGTTTAGAAGTAACCCTAATCAAGATGATCTGTATTTAAGAAGCATCAAAAAATACATAAATAAAAATAAGAGCCTTGGCTTGCACTTAAGACAATGTGAGTTGAATTTGCCTTTGGCTGGTGTTGGCGGGGTTAATGGGCTCCCACTGAGACGCCCTGCGGGTCCCTTCTGGCGGCCCCAGATGCAGATGCTGTTAGATTAATTACGAAAGAAAACTCGATTAACTCGGAAGTCCTTAAACTGTCAGTGGGGCAGCTGCTCCAGCTCTGAAGCAGGTTTTCTTCCTCCCTCCTACTGTCAGGCCACCGTTTGGAATCTCTTCCTTTAGAGAGCTGCTGAAACAGCACTCTGTAGGTCCTCCGAGCCCCTGGCTAGTTCAGTCAGCTTTTGGATCTGCTATTAAAATAGTCCAGGGAAAGCTTGCAGATTAAATTCACAGATAATTTAAGATTGAAAACAACCAGCCCAACCACTCATCCCCCTCAGTGGTGTGTCTTGCACCAGTTAAAATCTGATGGCGTCTTGGGATTTTAGAACTGGAAAGATGTTAACAATGATGTCATGCCCTTCCCTGAGTTCACAGATGAGAAATCCAAGGCTGAGAAAACGCAAGTGAATTGCCAAAGTCACAGAGCTAGTGAGGAGTGGAGCCTGGGAGTCACAATCTCTGCCCCCCTCCCTGCTTTTCCTCTTGCTTGCTGTACCCCTCCCGGGAGAGGCAAGGACGGAAGCCATCTAGCCCTGACTTTGTTTCTGTCCCATCCGTGCCCTTGTTCAAATCTGGTAGGCCTATGTCGGAAATCAGTGGAAAGCTAAAGACCGGCGGCAGAAGTGAAAGGCTTGAATAGTGACATATTGAAAAACAGATGGCGATACCCATACTGAGGATTTTCTTCCGTCCACTCGTTGCCCGGAGAACCTGAGTGGAGTGCACGCCTGTCCCATTGCACTGGTCTATGGTGGTTTGAACCTAGCTGGTGTATTTGCAGTGGCTGTTTTTGTCACTACAGAGATGGAGGGGAGGGTGATCATTTGGGTCAGATGATTAATGGGGTGTGTCTGCTGTGGCTTTGGCTGAGGCAGCATGTTTTACTGGCTTTCCTAGAGTTGAGGCTTAGCCTCAGAGGTTTTGTGATCTCGCCCTCTAGTCCTGAAAAGTGATGAGTTGGTTTTAGTTCTCAGCTATCCACTCTCCATGCTCACTTAGGTTTCGTTTTTTCTTATGTGTCAACTTTTGCTGTAGGAGTTATGAAGGCCATCAGCGTGGGCTTACACCTGGATGTCCCTCTCAGCTTCCGAGCAGCACTGGGAAAAGATGAAAGGATAGAAAGTATGGCTGAGAGCGATTCTAGCTGGCGAATCTGTCCCCACAGCTCAGGCTGGCATCGTTGTAGTTAAATTCTGTGAGGTGCTGGGGGAGGTCCTGTTCTGTTGTCTGTGTCCACTCTCTGCATTGAGATGAAGGTTTTTAGGGACGATGGTTTTGCCCCTAGACATCTCTGAGAACTCAGTGGAACTACTTACAGCTTTCCATAGATAATTTTCTACAGTAAATGGTTCTTACACAGAGCAAACCAGTGTGCAACCTGAGTACTTGCTCAGTGTGAGTCACTGTGTTAGGTGTCCAGGGTACAGAGAAATCTGATGGTCCTTCCTGCTTTTGACATTATAAACAGATGACCAGATTAGACTGCGATAAGTGTTGTTGAGTTGTGAACCAGATATGAAGGGACTAAGGACTAGCCCGTGGCTACTTGCTCAGTCGACATACAAGCAGTCAACGTTGTCCCCTCGCTTTTGTTTATTTTAAAGATTTTATTTTGAAGTGACCTCAGCTCACAACCCCAAGATCAAGAATTGCGTGGTCTACCGACTGAGCCAGCCGGGCGCCCTCTCTGCTTGGTTTTAGATTGTGGATCAAAGATTGGACCAGTGGTCTGGTGTGTTATGCTTGGGTTTGGTACATGCCTTGCACACAGTTAGGCACTCTGTTACGACCCCTTGCCTTTTCAGAGGAGCCCATCTCTTTCCCGGGAGACTCGATTTCCTTGTCTCAGTGTCCCGATGTGCACATGCAGGCCGGGTGTTGGACTCACAGACACACATGAAAGGAAGGGCTTTAATGAAAAGCATGGAGAGGAATTTGGGCAAAAGCAAAACCTTCTTGAAAACTTTTGATGGCGCTATTTGTGGAAGGGAAGGGGATTTGAGGACTTGTTACAGAATAGATCCAGGCTGAAGCAGAAGAGCCCCTTAAATCAGACTCCCTCCCGTGAATGAAGTAAACAGCTTACGAGTGGCTTAATAGCTCACAGTGATGTGACTGAAGGGGAGTACTTTTCAGTTGGTGCCACACAGCCTTTCAGTAAAGATGTATTTGGCCCAGAGATCAGCCTTCTTCTAGCCTAAGAACCGCTGTGGCTGTGCCTTTCTGAGCAAACTTAGGGGTTGCCTGAGTCACACATGGGAGCGGGTCGGGAATGATTGCCTTCTGAATCCGAGAGGTGCAGGTCAGTTAATTACCCAGACAGAAGTTTCTCCTCCTTTAGGAAGCTTTTTGTTCTCTCTCGAACGCCGCCTGCTGTGTTTGTGCAAGCTCGCCATTTACGTGAGTGTGGTTGTCCTGAGTGGATGTTTCTGAGACAGATCACATTCCTCCTAGATGTACCCGCATTGTCTCCTGAGAGGGAGCTCTTCCCTTTGTCTTACCCAAGGCCTTGTCCTCCGTAAACGGAAGCAATGGCCCTTGGTTAGGAGTTACTGATCTTCACCGAGCACCCGAAGTTACAGGAGTACAGACGTGGCAGCTGGGATGCGGTCAGCAGCCAGCAGAGAGACAAACTGGAAAAGATTCTAGAACTAAGCAGACTTGAATAACAATTTATTTTGATGTACGCATGTATAAAGATCAGCTCTTTCTCACACACAAAGATTAGCTCACACATTTAGTTATAAAAGATGTCATAAATGAGTAAAGTAACAGCTAACACGGCACGTGGTAAAGACATTTACAAGGGCCTTCTGTGTGCAAGTATTAGGTTTTCTGTCACGAAGGTCTTCACTTTGACATGTTCAGGTACAGTGTCCCCTTGGACTCACATCCTAGTTCGTTAGTCTTCTCTGGCTTTGTCAGTTTAAGGATCTCAAGACTGAGGCCGAGTCCTGGTGTACTCCTTGGGCTGGCCCTGCACCGCATGAAAAAGGAGCAAGGAGGGATCAGGTCCCTGCTGCCTTTCTAGGTATAGACACCTGCTCTGGGGACAAGCCAGGGACGGGACTCCTGATATTTGAGGAACCTTTTCCAACAGAGATATTTTCCTGGTCTCTTTTCTAGCCAGGAGCTTCCTAGAAATTGCTTCTGTAGGACCCTGCATCCTGACTGGGTCTCTGTCTGCCTGTCCTCACTGTCTCTCTGTACTGCTTTCTCCTTCCCCGCCCTCCCCTTCTCCGACCAGGCCAGCTGAGCTGCATCGCCTTCCCACCTAAGGAAGAGAAGTACCTCCAGCAGGTTGTGGACTGCCTTCCCTGCATCTTGATCCTCGGCCAGGACTGCAATGTCAAGTGCCAGCTGCTGAACCTGCTGTTGGGGGTGCACGTGCTTCCCACCGCCAGGCCGGCCAGGGAGGAGAGCTGTAAGCTCCGGCGTCTCCGCTTCACCTATGGGACTCAGACGCGGGTTGGCCTGGCGCTCCCCGGCCAGTACGAGCTGGTGCACACGCTGGTTGCTCACCAGGGCAACTGGGACACCATCCCTGAGGAGGACCTGGAGGTCCAAGAGGACGGGGAGGACGCCGCCCCTGTTTTAGCCGAACTGGAGGTCACGATGCACCACGCGCTCTTACAGGTACCGGTCTCAACAGCTGCACACGGACATACGCTTTTCCTGTGCTTGAGCTTTCTCACAGAGCGGTTTGGCAATGCTCTGGGCCCTGAGCATTAGCTGATACAGCATATCACCCAGGAAGGTGACAGACAGGGCCCTGGCAGCAAGTCTACACCACAGGCAGGACCCTGAGCAGTTCGCTTATCTCCCTGCCCCTTGAGCTCCGTGCATCTCCACTGGGCTTTTGCAGAGTAATTATGATCAGGGCCTGAAATCTTGCTAGAATTGCCTCCAGCCGTCCCTTTCTAAAAGGAATGATAAGATGATGGATTGATTATTAATGCTCTTATTCGAGTTGAGCCAGAGTAAAGACTGTGTGAGTTTTTCCTTAGACCTAGCCATTATTATTATGGGGGACAGATCTTGTCTCCTACTTTCTAAGGAACTAGAGAACCTGAGGACAGGTCAGGTTCATTGTGAGGAGATACAGAGATCCTGTCATCTTAAAGGATATCTTCTTGGCTTCCCTCTTGAAATCTACTCCCACATCCAAGAGATCATATCAACTATCTGGTATTCAGATCTCCACTGAGGAAGTATTCAGCTCTTGTGCTAGGCCTCCTGTCCTGCTCTATAGCTGGGACCAGGCAATGTGATGAGACCGAGTGGGGATCAGCAAAGAATGTGACTGTGTCAGCGGTCGGGAGTGGGTAAAGAGGAAAAGAATGCACACCTGCTCAGAACAGAGAGTCCCGTCACCTTGATCAGCTGTGCCAGGAAGTAAGGGCTGGCTTAGCAGCACTAGGAAGTTTTGTTTCTTCTTATAACCTCTGTACCTACCCTGTTCTAAAAGGCCTGATCTCCCAGTCAGTGAATGAGTCCTTTGGTTGTGGCTATGGCCTTTGACACTTCAGAACTAGAAGCTGTCATCTCATTTCCTTCCAGAGACCAGATTTCTTTTATCTTGATAAATGCTGGAGGGGCTATGTACACAAGCCAGCATTTTCTCTGAGTGGCATTTCGGCAGTGGCTTCCCTTTGTTTTCAGACTGAGGGCTCACACTCCTTAGGTGCAAGATGCCGAGCCCGTTCTTATGCAACGCTAGCTGCAGCTCTGACAGTAATCCTTGTTCATTAACTGAGGCTGCTCGGTTGACCTGTGAACTTCACAGTTCGTCAGTACTTGAGTCACACATAATCTCTCTGTGATATTCTGGCCTGATCTGGTTCGTTCAGGTTCTAGTGCTTCAGTGGGCTTTCAGACTTTTCTAGAATTTCATTCACTGGGGTCACCTTGCTGGCTCAGTTGGTAGAGCATGCTACTCTTGATCTTGGGGTTGTGACTTTGAGCCCCGCATTGGGTATAGAGATTACTTAAGAAATAACATTTTGGGGGCGCCTGGGTGGCTCAGTGGGTTAAAGCCTCTGCCTTCGGCTCAGGTCATGATCCCAGGGTGCTGGGATCGAGCCCCGCATGGGGCTCTCTGCTCAGCAGGGAGCCTGCTTCCTCCTCTCTCTCTGCCTGCCTCTCTGCCTACTTGTGATCTCTGTCTGTCAAATAAATAAATAAATAAAATCTTAAAAAAAATACTTTGTATCAGGACCTAATACATATATATACACATATACATTTAAAAAAATATTTGTTTATTTGAGAGAGAGAGAGAACATGAGCAGGGGGAGGGACAGAGGGAGAAACAGGCTCCCCGCTGAGCAGAGAGCCAGATGTGGGACTCCATCTCAGGACCCTGGGATCATGACCTCAGCCGAAGGCAGATGCACAACCGACCGAGCCACCCAGGTGCCCCTGTACACATAGAAATAAAATTTCATGAAACAATACTTTTACTTTTTGTAAAACACACTATTACCTTCTCTTTTTTATTTGATTTCACTTTTTAAAACCGATGGTAGCAACCCGCAAAGTTGACGCTGTGAGCTTCTGCATTCTGACCTGCAGCTTAAAAAACACGGTTAAGGGCGCCTGGGTGGCTCAGTGGGTTGGGCCGCTGCCTTCGGCTCGGGTCATGATCTCGGGGTCCTGGGATCGAGTCCCGCATCGGGCTCTCTGCTCGGCGGGGAGCCTGCTTCCCTCTCTCTCTCTGCCTGCCTCTCTGTCTACTCGTGATCTCTCTCTGTCAAATAAATAAATAAAAAATCTTAAAAAAAAAAAAAAAACACGGTTA